TTGATGTAGTAACATTGTATTTTGAATAGTTTTATAAGGGATACGATAAAAAACATAATCTGTGTCCCACCTCACTCTTTGCATCCTCAATGCACTGCCAACTTCCCATGACTTTTAAAGCCACATTTTCGTTGGTGGCAAACTTCCTGCACTGGGCCACCTCTCCAAAGCTGCCTCTCCCCAGTAAATACTGCACTTGGTAGGCTGAGGATTTGGAGTAGAGCATCGCTCCTTCCTCAACCTGAAAGTTGCCAGGCATGGTGCGAGATGCACCCTGATGCTGATTTCTAACAACTGAAAAGAGAGAAGGAAATCGGAGGAATTTAGATATACAAGCTCATGTCTCGCTTTAAAAAAGCTAACTGTACTTCTACCTGTCCTTAAATACATATAGATATTTAATGTAAACACATTTTTAACATTTTAAAATGATAAAATAAACAATATTAGAAATGCTAAAAACAAACAAAGAACATTTAAGATTTTAAACCTCTTACTTCCACCAAATATACATTTTTCTTGCTTTCCAGATGTTCCTATCCTTCAGTACACAAGTATATAATTTATATATTGTATTTATTTATTTATTTCCTAAAATACAGCTAGAGAAACCTTTAAAGTAATATAAAAGCAAAAAAAAGTTGTGAGGAACAGGATCTGCTTATTGTGACTTTTTTCACTGTTAATTCCCAAAACAATGTGCCTATGTCAAGTAGAGTTAATGCAATGTGATTATGATGTTTGAATTACAATCAGATGTTTAGTTTTCTCGAGTTAACAAGTTATATTTGGCCAATCAAATCAACTTACCAGAAGTCCAAAGTGCACTGCAGGAAATGTTCCGTTTTGAGTCTCAGTGTAAAATAACGGTTACTGGACGGACTGGATTTGAATCTCAGGGTACAGCAACTAGTAGGTCACCCAATTGTTTAAGGTTGTCTTCAAGTGAACAAGCCGAAAAGCCGGTGAACGAGTCGAAAGCAAGGTGGAAATGACCAGAAAGTCAGATTACGGAACATTGGAACCTCCTCTCTGTTACACTGTTCCATCATTCTGTTCCAACATTCTGTTCCATTGTAAAGTTCCATAACTTCTCTTGAACAGGTGTTGATGGTATGCAACCGTACCCAGCAGAGAAAACTCCTATCAATGAATACACTATGTTTATATTGTATAAATAATGCCTTCTTAAAGGTTATTGCCATTTTTTTATGACATACAATTAATTAGAGCCTCCAACGGAAGAACTCAGATCTTTAACTTAATTGGAAGTTGCAACAAATCAGTGTCAAATTACTTAAGGTTAAAGCATCAACATTAATGTAGTAAAAGTACCAAAAGTACACATGCAGAATAACCCATTTCAGTATAATGTTTATTATACTGTGTTATAATGACTGATGCACTAATGCAGGGGTGTCAAACTCAAATACACAGTGGGCCAAAATAAAAAAATGGGTACTAGTCGAGGGCCGGACTGGTTCAATGTTTATTGCAGAACTCATTGAAATGAACTTATTGCACATATTAAACCTGGAACTAACAAAGCTTAAATTATTGCCTATAAAAACAACATTAAACATTAAATAATCAGTTGCATTCATTTCTTATGGCTCTATCTGCAGCTAATCCGGACTCATTTCTTATGATTACATTTTCCCACAGGCCAACAACAGCTTCAAAAAACTATTTCCCTCAAAGAAAAAAACAAACATGCCCTGCTGTCGCAAGAAAAAAAGTGCAGAAGGAAACATCCATGTAAACTCAGTGTGCTGCTCTGTGATGCTAGTTCAAGCCAGATACTTGGCATCTCATCTTGGGTGCAGGTTCATCAATGTTTGGGGTCAGGCTCTGAGCTGTGGGAACCCTCAGGATTGAGTGAAGGTGTGTGGGGCAGATCTAATAGTAATTAGAAATTATCCTGCGGGCCGAAATTAAATCCACCAAGGGCCTGATTTGGCCCCCGGGCCTTGAGTTTGACACATGTGCACTAATGTGTTCATCACTATTACAGCTGGTAAAGAGGGAGCAAAGAGTTCAGATGAAACTATATATGTAACACAATAAGGCCTTACAGTGCGTACAGTTTATTAATTTAAATATTGAAATATATTTTTGGGACACCACTGTACTAAATGAACGTAAGGTGATTGATGACTATGTAAAACAAAGTATTATAATTATATAATAATATATATGAGTGGTCAATAAAATAACACAGCAATCAAACATGCAATTTGAAAAGAACCAGATCCATAACAAATATAAACATACTTGATGTTTGTAATATCAATATGACGTTTAACAAATGTAAGCTACATTTTCTGTATGATAGGTATGTTTAGTAATTGTTCAACATCAGCAGCAAAGATGAAGATTGATGAAGACTTTTGAAAAACAATATGACTGTGAGATCTTGTTTTCACTAAAATAATCAAATCAAATAATTATTTCTGTAAGTGGTTTGATTATGATACTAAACCTGAATATTCCAGAACCTCTGTGAGTTGGCTGTGTCTGTAGATTATTACAAATATTACACAATATCTTGTTTTGTTTTTATAGGAACACGACAATGTCGTAACCCTTTAACTACCAGACCAAGAAAAAAAGCTATGGAAAAATTATTTGTTTGCATTTTTTTATCAAATGGGCCACAAATAATTTAAAACATTTTGACTGACCACACAGTTTTGTTTTTATGAGCCTCTACCAACTGGTCGAGCTGGCCTTTTATGGTAAAAGTGCATTTTCAACAATCATCATACAGTACAGTATGTGTATGCATCAAACTCAAATAAAACACAAACTGAAATACATTTTTTTCTTTTATGCAAAATGAGCAATATATACAACCAGATATATTCATAAAAGATAATAAATTATAATTGTAAAAAATGGAAAAAGTAATGTTAAGTGTTTTTCATAATAATAAAAAGACTTGCTCATCTTACTGTATATGCTGAATTGGCCTAACAACAAACAGCTGGCCTAACAGCAAATGTCTATATCCTGTGTTGGCCTAACTTGCTCATCTGTGTGCAACTTTGGGCTGAATGCCATGCATGAAAGGTGCTATATAAATTATTATCACTCTTTCACTCTGAGACTCATAAGGCAGTACTAGATTTAGTAATATTACCATGAATCTAGCTATGTATTTACCATATTTTATTGGAAAACATCTATGAAACTCTGAAAAAGTCATATCGCTAGTTTACCATAAAAGGCCAAACCGACCGATTGGTTGAGCATATTTTCCAAAAAATAATTACACCCTTGTTAAAACTTTTTTTGTGCATCAAGTTATCCACATATGTTCAGTCAGTGCTCTGACACTAAAATATGTCAAAAATGATACGGTTACCTTACAAAAGTTGACCAAAAAGAGTGATTACGTCAGCAGTGATTTTTATCATGCCAACTTTCTCAGTGGAAGCTAGCTGAAGGGCTTTCTGTTCGAACCACAGTGACATCTAGAGGTTGTATTGTGCATAACATGTCAACCAAATGGTAGAGCTGGCTGAATCAGATGGAGATAAACTTTTTTATTAATTTTTTTCAACAAGATATCAAGACACAAAATGTGCTCTACCAAATGGTTGCACTGGGTATGAAAGGGTTGGGTTTCTCTTCAGCAATATTTATTCTCCTAAATCTAAAAGAAAGATAATCTGCAAAAAAGTGTATTTAGTTTATATCCCTCAGCTAAAATAGGGCCATTGTCACTGTGTGTGTTTGTGTGTCCATGCCCTCCACAATGCATACTGATTAATGTGTCCATCCATCAATATCAGCTCCTCTCCGCCCAGCAAACACAGATATCAGTGATGGATCACACTGATCAATAAGGTTAAACACACTGATGTGGATCTAGAGTGTGGGCAAACAAATGTGTGTGTGTGTGTGTGTGTGTGTGTGTGTGTGTGTGTGTGTGTGTGTGTGTGTGTGTGTGTGTGTGTGTGTGTGTGTGTGGAATGGTGGAGAGTAAAAGTGGGGGGGTTTTGGTCTGGTATAGTCAGTTTCATCCCTTGAGGCATCAATGAGGAGGAGGGAGGAGGAAGATGAGCAGAGACAGAAGGGAAGCGACATGAAGAGTCTAAAATGACTCTCACACATTAAAACACACACACAGACACACACACAGAAACACACACGCAGACATTGGGTGTCATTTTCCATCAGTAGCCTGTATGGCTGTGAGTTATGACCGCAGCAATGCGATCATTTACACTCAGCGCTGCAGATAGCCAGGGGCTACTGTTCTCTGCGTTCATGTGTGTGTGTGAGCAGAGATTTTGTTTTCACACATAACACTTGCTGGAGTGTATTGGTGTGTCTGAAGCACACAGCTGAAGATGAGCGCAAACAGACATTTGTGTTCAGTTGTTTCACATTCCAGATATATAACAGAGACATGCTGTCAGATTCCATAATGGCTTTAACTGAAGGCATTTCTTCTTTCTTTAATGCAGGGCTGTATAGACAAAGAACAAACGTTTTAAAGGTCCCCTATGATGCTGTTTTTCATCAATATATTATAGGTCTCAGATATATACAAAACATGTCTCTGAAGTGTTTGGCTCCAAACACCAAACAGATCATTGTATCATCCCATAAACCCCTCTGTTTCAGCCCTGTTTCAAAAGTGCTGATTCTCTGTCTGTTACTTTAGATGAAAATAAGGAGCCCCTCCCCACGCCCCTCTGAGAGAGATTTGGTTAAAAAGAACACAATGGTGCTCTAGGAGGAGATTCAGGTGATAAGGTGTGTGTGTGTGGGGGGGGTTACCTTGGTTGGTTATTGGCTAATGGTTACACAAGCCCAAAAATCGTTATGACATCATAAAGTGGCCAAAATCTGATCAGCTCATTTTCAGACAGGTTTTTATATAAATGGATCAGGACAAAAAGAGAGAGAATCTTTTTTCCTGAAACTTTCAGAATCAATTTACACAGAGGGGACACATGTTTATGAATAAAAGACATGATGTAGTGGAATTTGCATAATAGGTCCCCTTTAATGTAGCTATGGACTTTAGACACACACACAACTTCAGTAACCTCAGAAACAGCTATTCAAAACACTTGTGTTAGAAATCCCACTGTGTGACATAGACTTACAGTAAGTATCATTTTTATATTAACGATATTCAAACAAAATATGCAATAACATCTATTTATTTATTTTTTTTGGCCACTCACTTTGGCGAAGTTCCAGATTGAGGTGATACATATCTGTACATTATCATACTGGTTTTTTACAATACAAAATGGCATATTATTATACAAATACAGGTTCCAATGATTGGAAACACTTCAAGCAGGTTTACATATCAATATTATAATACCTACATTCTGGTTGACATATGTCAACATCCTCAAAGATGTTGAAAAAACCAACCATCTAACTGATCATCACAGACAAAAGCTACATTAAGAAGATGAAGCGAGGAAGTGCTTGATTTCCCCAAACTTCTAACAACATAAAGTTGGAACAGAAACAGTATTTCTGGAGCAGAGAAAGAGGGCAAAATGTAAACAAGATGGCGTCTTCTTCAGCTGAGATGTAACCAGCGCCGGACAGTTTCTCGTCCATGTAATGCACTCTGCCTTCTTTGCATTGATATTGTTGCTGATGTTGTAGAGAGAAAATAGTTCCTACATGAAACTGCTTACAACGAAGTCTGTGGATCACTGCTCATGATTTCTGGGAAGAGGCATTCCAGTTCAGGTCATTTCATTATATTGAAGAGGAAAAGATACCTCCAAATCTCTGCACCTCACACCAAAACAATTTAGATTCATAAAAAGCACTACAGGTATGAGGAAACATATGTGTTTTTAGTTTTGGTGTGAGTAACCCTTTTAAGATTTGTATTCCATTATGATCCCTCCATGAGTTATTTAGACAACAAAAACAAACTCTCTGAGAAGAGAGTGACAACTTTAATGTAAATTCATATTCTGTGATAAATGGTACTCAAATAAAAAAGATCTCAATGAGTCAAACTTATTTTTGGTTTATTTCATGTCCTATAACATAACATAAGAGTGAACAGCAGTATAAATATATCAAGGAACCCCCCAGGAAACAACAGGCATCAATGACAGAAGGGTTTAATCTGTATCATTTCAAGGTTTTTTCGGCCTGAACCTTTTTTTCCCCAGAGTCCTGTCAGGCTGAAGCTTTCCTTTCAGTTCAGCTCAGGCCATTCCAGTTCAGATCAGTTCAGCTTGATTCACTTTAATTCAGTATGCTTCACCTAGAAATGGCTCTCACTTCTGACAGCGAGCTCTTTTACTCTCGTCTCGTTACTGCTACTCTTTACTCTCCTGCTGGCTGCATGTGACACCTGCAGGGAGACAGAGAGGAGACATTAGCCTGTGTGTGGGGGAGAAATATAAATATAAGACTCAGTGTGGGTAAAAACATAGAAATAGCACGTAATTAGGAAGTCTAGGAATAACTGGGGAAAGAAGATGTTTCTTTAAAGAATAAAAACGCATTGGTAAAAATACAAAATTGTTAAAATAATTGTTAATGCTACTAATAACATGAAACATTACGAAACAATGTATAAACAGCAAAATAATGAGATGACTGTAAAACACACACACACACACACTCTCACACACACACACACACACACCACACACACACACACACACACACACACACACACACACACACACACACACACACACACACCCACACACACACACACACACCAAATTCAATCAGGACTCTGCTGCTGCCTGGGGGAAGCGTAGTGTGGAATCTTCACTATAGTGGAAATCACCTTTTCCATGTCATTTTACCCAGCAGCACCTACACTACACACAGAGTCTGGCTGCTTTCACACCGAGGACCAGGAGACTTTTTTTTAACTCTTTGTGGTGTAGCTCTCACACCGTCATGGCTGTCTCAGCCAAAAGAGTCTGTGATTTTATACAACCGTGGAAAAAAAATCAGCTTCAAAGAGCTAATGTGATCATGTGACAGCAGTGGGTTTGGTGATGTGAGCTTTCTAATCTTAGGGCGTATTCACACCAAGCTGTTTTGGACTTGTTTAAAGCCTGGAGTGTTTCACATGCAAGTTCGCTTTGTTTGGGAATATGCAAACACATAAATCGCACAATTCCAGTTCTTGCTAGAATCTGATATTTTGAAAATTGTATGAACACTGGTATATTAACTACATGCATTATCTTGGCAAGCAGTGTACCAACATTTTTTGCAATCTTTCCGAGTTTATTTGAATTGAGCAGCTCATATATTTTTCGGACTATTTGACCATTTCAATAATGCAGCACAATAGCCTGATATACAATGTTAACATACATTTTGTTTATCCGTCTTGTGATTGGGAACTACGTGGGGCAAAATGTAATACATGGTCTTCCTTGGACCATGATACATGATCCAAGATATTCTGTTGAAAAAAAAGAGGAGAGAACATCGGAGGCAAATCTTCATTTCTGACCAATGAAAGAACAGCTTTATCACGCATGACAGTTATTATAGACTTTCGGACCATAATTGAATATTGAAAGGTGAAAATAGTGTGAAATAAGTCTCTGAAATGGAAAAAATCGAATCAACTATTAACATACCCGACCAAAATGTTTCTATATAACAAATAGGAGGTTCATTTATTGTAATCAATCTGTCTATTTGGGAACAGTGGCAGTGTTCGATTCAATTGGACAGAGCCAGAATACCTGTTTCAGTGTTTATGCTAAGCGAAGCTAACCAGATGCTAGCTGTAGTTTCATATTGGCATATATTTAAAGGGGACCTATCATGCAAAATGCACTTTTGTACGTCTTTTATACATGAATATGTCCCCCCCCCGGTGTGTCAGGGAACTCACCAAGTGTCAGAAAACACAACCCTCTCTCTTTTCCTCCATACCCAAATCTCTAAAAACGGGGCTGCAACGGATCTGATACAGACTGATACAGATTTGAAAATTCTCTGACGTCAGGAACGAGGAGCTCCGCCTATATGGCCAACTCTCCACCTATCAGGGGAATGAGAGGTTGGGCCACGGCCAGCCATTGCTGCTCGAAAGCGCTGGAGACGCTGTAGTACATATGCCAGGCCTGTAAGTGTTGCAAAAATCGGGTGGCCTGTGTTCGTCATCCATAACATACGCCTGCCCATACCATAACCCCACCACCACCATGGGCTACTCGATTCACAACATTACCCTAACCCTAACCCTACCCCTCACACCAGATACTGACTGGTTTTCGGACCCCCCCCAGACCCCCCCCAATAAAGCAAAACTGCACGTTTCAGAGTGGCCTTTTATTGTGGCCAGCCTAAGGCACACCTGTGCAATAATCATGCTGTCTAATCAGCATCTTGATATGCCACACCTGTGAGGTGGGATGGATTATCTCGGGCAAAGGAGAAGTGCTCACTATCACAGATTTTTTCAGATTTGTGAACAATATTTGAGAGAAATGGTTATTTTGTGTATATAGAAAATGTTTTAGATCTTTAAGTTCATCTCATGAAAAATGGGAGCAAAAACAAAAGTGTTGCGTTTATATTTTTGTTCAGTGTAAGAATAAAACACGGAGGACGGAGATCTCTTTTTCTCCCCCTCTTCTGACAGCCCAGCAGCTGATCTCAGAGCATGCTCCCCTCTCCTGCAGGGGGGCGTGGTCAGCTGCAGCTCATTTGCATTAAAGCTATGTCACAGAATCAGCCCTTGCAAAAACAGGCCTGGAAAGAGCAAATAGAGCGAAATGAGGCATGGCTAAAATGCATGATCTGTTTGGTATTTTGAAAAAAAAACTATATTGATATACTTTATATAGGTATGGCCCTACAATATATTGTTCAAATATAGCATGATAGCTGTCCTTTAAGTCGAGCAAGAAAGCACAGAAACAGCCCAAGTTTTGAACCATCATCGGTCAGAATAATTTTATATGGGCAAAAAGATTTTCTTCGGCAAAGAATCCAAGCCAAAAAGTGAGAGTAACTTTAAAAGTATTTAAAACCCATAGAGCTGACATTTGAGCAAAGGAGGAGGATCTATCTGCTGGACGAAATCCAGAAAATGTGAGGAGATATTAACCATCTGTAGTGTTCTGCCATGTGACAACCATCTCAGAGGAGTGTCGAAGAGGAGGGCAGTACCATGCATCTCATCAAATCGCTCTGGCTTTAAACGGCCTCTCCAGAGTGTGTGTTTAGCAAATTAAAGGCCAGGGATTTTTTCATAATTGTCTATTTTATCATTTTATTACAGCTAGCTTTCCTCTGATGGGCTCCCTTTATGATTTATCAAATACAATTACTGCGTGACTTATTTCAGGAGCTCTCCATTGCTGAGGACCATAAGTGTGTGTGTGTGTGTGTGTGTGGTGTGTGTGTGTGTGTGTGTGTGTGTGTGTGTGTGTGTGTGGTGTGTGTGTGTGTGTGTGTGTGTGTGTGTGTGTGTGTGTGTGTGTGTGTGTGTGTGTGTGTGCGTGCGTGTGTGTGTGTGTCAGCTCTAGTGTTCTTAAATAGCATTAACTAATTGGAAAAACAGGAAAAGAGGCTGGAAAAGCTAAATTGTCTTTGTGGATTTATACCCCCCCCCCCACACACTTATTTCCCTCTGTTGCTCTCCTTAAATATATCAGAATCTAAAATAAGAGGAAATCATGTTTTAACTGATACACAGGAACTCATTTGGAATAGTGTCATTTTTTTGCTGCTTTGATATTTCTCGAGGAAGGAAGAAACAGTCGGATAGAGAGATAGAAGGAAGGGAAGAAGAACGCAGACAGAGGTTAATTCCATACCTTCCCCTCCCTGGTAATGAAGTGTAGGTGGCGTCCCGGTCACTGCAGCTAATTGAACAGTGGAGATTACAGCAGCCGTGGCTCCTCTGTGAAAAGAAGGCTGTGTTCATTAGTCGTTGCCATATAATATTCATTCTCTGTAGAAATATGTAGATAGTATTCTATGCAAAGAGCCGCTGGGATGATTTTAAAGCTCTCAACATGTATCGTGTAGCAATAACTCAAACAATCATTATTTGAAAAATGTCGAGTCTCTGGCTGCACTCCTGTTCATCATATCTGTGCTTTCCTGCTTAGAGATGCTGCTTTACTCATATTGAGCTCGGTGTTGTTCTTTAATGACAATATATTTTATTTTAAACATTTTAAAGGCTTTACAACCTCCACAAAATTAACTGATTATAAGGATTCATGTGCGAAAATGCTTCTCATCAAGTTGAAATCCATCCTTTTCCCGTGTTCAGATCTGTTTAAAGTAGCAATATATACGGTGGCCGACCCATGCAAAATGCGCTAGAATGGCCCAACACTTCCATTAGGAGAAACGTGCTGTACTTTTAAATAGGTGGCAAACATAACAACACAAAGGTCCCAAAACACATTTAAATGAAGAAACATCTTCACCAACTTGACAACATGTATGGAGCATTAAGAAAACCTAAAAAAGGCAAAACAGGCGCAAGGCTAAAAACCCTAAATGAAACGCTGCAAATGCAAAATGCTTCAATTAAATTAAACGATGCAAGAAGCTTAAAACACAACAAAATGGGGACACTAAAAAGTGTTGGGAACGGAGTGCTTTTGACAACCAGGGATAATAAAGTTCTTCATTTGAATGTGCTTTGGCCCATTTGTGTTTTTTATTATCCTTGTTGAAAGCCGGTGTTCTCCTAATGGAGGTGATTTAGGCCGTTGTAACGTGTTTGCCTCTGTCGGCCACTGTAAAAACCACTGTGCCGAAATACTCTGTTACAAGTAAAAGCCCTGCATTCAAAGTAATAAAAGTAACCAGTGTGGCCACATAAATGTGAACAATTAGCATACAAGTGCAAAAGCCTACACGTACCTTAAAATTGTACTTAAGTAATGTTCTGAGGTTCTGTTCACCCCTGCTGCCATGCACCTTGAAGAAAGAATACTATATATCAGTTATGAACACACCCCACGAAATGCACTTATTTTGTGCGGAGATTATTGCTGAATATCTGTCTCAATATTTCAAAAAGGTCATCAGCTGAAATACCTGTCTTTGGAGTGTAATTGTGCTGAAACACCATGTCAACGTCACTCCACGCTATCCACATATTCCTTTATATTCTCTTCTCTGCCAATGAGGAATGATTATGGAATAAAATATGTTCCTACAGTCTCTGTCATGTTCTCTGCCTCAAAGTAGATAGGGTCAGCACTGAAAACACTCACACAGTGTGAATAATACTGTATGTTGTCGATTTTAAAGCAAATACTGTGCAAAACAGGATTACATAATCAAAAGAAGCACCGGTAACCCTGGTAAATGTTGGCGTGGCATTACAGCCTCTGGCATTTCATGTTCATGAATTTAATTTGGCTCTTCACACCATGTTACATTCATATCTACAGCTTTTTCTTTCATTTTTCTTTGGGGGGGTTGTGGTGAAGTGTGTGCAATAGCTAAGACGAAGATATGCTACGTTTTCTATACTGTAGAAATAACAAGAAACAACATTGTTCTTCCAAATTAACTGCATCCATCAGACTGTATTGCATCTTTGGTGTGTTTCCCACATTTGTGTTATCGTTATGTTTAATTTCCTATGCTTTTAAATGTGCTTCAGAACAGGTGGATGTGACGCTGACTCGTTCCTCTGGTTTCCTGATGCTGGAAACAGAACTGTGTCTTTATAAAGACGAAAACAAAACTCCTCTCTGCTTCTGTCACTTTTCTAACCCCATCGAACCCTGTCCTCTTACCGTCACCCTCCCCCCTTTTTGATTGCCCATCCAGCTCAGTGGGACCCTCTCTCTCTCCCCTTCTCTCACTGTCTCTCTGCCTCACTCGCCCCCTCCCTCAGGGCAGAAGTAAACCACGCCTTGAGGCCCTGCTCCCATTGTGTATCCTCTGCTACTTCTGTTTGGGGCCTTTGTGTGCCGCTAATCAGCCGTGGGGCCATGCTCAGCCTCGTGTGTGTGTGTGTGTGCGTGTGTGTGTGTGTGTGTGTATGTGTGTGTGTGTGTGTGTGTGTGTGTGTGTGGTGTGTGTGTGTGTGTGTGTGTGTGTGTGTGTATGTATGTGTGTGTGTCCCTTGCCCTCATTACGTAGCCACACTGGGAGGCCAGCATGGGAAGTTTCTGCTGCACTATACCCCTCCCTCCACCTCCCCCCTTCTCTCTTCCCCTCCCTCTAGCTGTCCATCACTCCCTTCTTCTCCCTTCTTCTCCCCCCCACCCCCCCGTCACATCTCGCCACCCCAAGACATAAAGCTACACAGGCCATGATTCATAAATTAAACTACACCTGTTTCAGCCTAAAGCGAATGTCCGACGACCATAACTAAACTAGTCCTACCCAGTGGTGGGAAGTGACAAAGTACATTGACTCAAGTACCGTACTTAAGTAGTATTTTGATATATTTGCACTTTACTTGAGTATGTGTATTTTTTGATACTTAAACTTCTACTCTACTAGTAGAGTAGAACTTTAAATGTTCTGCAACATAAAGCACTTTTTACTCTACTCGTTTTTATTTAACACTCATAGTTACTTTTTCATATAAAAACATGTGATTTCTTTATTTGATATATCGCAGTACCTAACTACTAATATACAAAAATACAACCCGGTGCAAAAAGTATATAATAGTGCATATTCAAATGCCCTGACATGTTTATGTTAGAGATAGAAACAGTAATATATATGATTATTTAAAAATATAGCCATTGCGCCTATTGACTACTTTCACTTCTTATACTGTAAGTACATTTAGCTAATTATACTTCTGTTCCTCTACTTAAGTAACATTTTTAATTCAGGACGTTTACTTGTAATGGAGTACTTTAAGACCATAGTATTTCTGCTTTTACTCAAGTAAAGCGTTGAAGTACTTCCTCCACCTGGTCCTAGCCCATGATCAATTTGTGTTATCAAATTAAACTGGTTGCTAGTTTGAATACTGATATTTACTTCTGCAAATTAATACTAACTAAACTCAGCATAACAAGATTCATTCTCAAAAGTATAAGCCACTTTTTGTTGAGATTTTGAGTGCCCAATTTATACTTGGTAAAAAACGTTTAAAATAACCTAGATAGATAATGTTTACTTCTTCATGACTTTGATTAAGGGGCAGTTATTGTTACTTTTATAGTCATAAACGATGTATGGAATAAATACAATTAAATTCATGTTTTAAAGTTTGTACTGTACATTTGAGCCTACACTTATGAATGCACATCAAAATGATTACAAACGCATTAATAAAAAGTTGCTCTTTGCAGCCAGTTACAGTGTTATAAGCGATTAATAACTTAAGTGTGATTTAAAAAATGATTTATTAGAGTAGTCCAACAGGTTGATAAATTGTCTCTCATGCGATCAAGCTTTAACATGCTCAGGATGAGTCAGCTGATGAGTCATCTTGGTGAAATTGGTGGATAATGACTGCGATATTATGCTGTCAATGAATGCATTGTTCTATGTGAGCTTGTGTGGTGAGTTTAGACTTATGTTGTATACATTGTTTTTTATGTTAGGTAAGTGAGTGTTTGACATGGCTACAAGACACATTTTCCCATTTGGGACGATAATGGTGAGTGAAACATGTTTTCCTTTAACATGTAGCAGGCTCAGTATCCACAGGATGTCATAGTTAAGAACTTCACTGTACACGATACACTGTTAGATTGGCAAGTGATGCAACTTAAACCTAATAAAATAATAGAAGGTTACTGAGGGACTATCTCTGTCAATTTCACTGTTACATGAATAAGCTGGGCTGTCCGTTGCTCTTTATTGCCCCCTCTCTCTGTCCCCCTCTGGCGTGCCCCACTCAACATCCTAACAGCCTCTTCCTCCTCCTCACTCCTCACCTCCTCCTCCTCCCTGCCACTTCCTCACCATCCTTCCCCGTATACCAGCCCCTGCTTCCTTGTGCCCCATCCACGGATATATCCCCTGGCCATGTTTTGTGTTGTTGGTGTGTGTTTGGTGTGTATGGTGCCTGTCTTGGGTGCCCACGTGAGGGCGTCAGCCATTGGAGTCCTCCAGCTTCTGTGACTCGAGGGACAAGTGGTTGTCTGGTCATCTTCTCATCCACACACACACACACACATCCACACACACACACCACACACACACACAACACACACACACACACACACACACAGTACACACACCACACACCACACACACACACACACCACACACCAACACACACACACACCACGACCACACTACACACACTACACCACACACCACACACACCCACACGACACACGCGACACGCACACTATCACACCTCTTTCTTTTCTTTCTTTCTCTCTCCCTCCCTCCCTCTCTCTCTCTTCAGTCAACAGCTACACTCCTATCTCAAGTTTCAGTGTGGGACCGAGAAAATCTCTCTCTCTCTCTCTCTGTCTCCCTCTCTCTGTCTCCCCCCTCCATTACTTTCTTTACCTGAGTTACCACAGTTTACTGACCCATATTCATGTAACAGCACATCATGAGTGCAAGAGAGAGGGAAAGAGAGAGCTTAGAGATTACTTGAGAAGTGAGACTTCTTCACTTTTTGTTTCCGTCTCACGGAAGCACATAAGAGGCAATCTTTTTTTTATGGACAACTTGGTCAAATCACTAGACCAGTAAAGACATAAGGGCAATGCTAGCGGGAAAAGTCTATTGCTTTTCTGTTTTAAGATTCGCTATAATCTTTCTAGATGTCTGAGTTCAGCCCACACACATTTAGGCGGCTGAAATTTAGGTTTTGAAAGTGATGAACACAACAGTCCAGGCAGGGTTTTTTTTTTCTAACCCAAAGTGATTGATTGTACACCTCTAATGGAGCCCAAACGTCCTAGTCCCAGAGCCTTTTGAGGCATATAACCTGTTTTATAAGTGGACAAAATAGGAACTTTAAATCTTCTCTCCAAAATGTTATGGCAGAAAAAAATATGTATTACTCACTTATTGTTATAAATTACAGTTGGGACAACTACTCAAAGTCTAGTTTTAGAGTGAGGATCTGCACTGAAAACCCAACATGGAGCCGAGTGAAAGTCATGATAACTAATAATAACCACCTTCCCTTAAACTACAGCTGTGAAGGATTTCCACTGGATTAAAGATATTGAATTCGGTGCAGAGAAGGCATTATGGGAACTGTGTGTGTGTGTGTGTGTGTGTGTGTGTGTGTGTGTGTGTGTGTGTGTGTGTGTGTGTGTGTGTGTGTGTGTGTGTGTGTGTGTGTGTGTGTGTGTGTGTTGTGTGTGTGAGGGAGGGAGGGAGGGAGGGAGGGAGGGAGGGAGGGAGTAAGCTGGAGAGAGAAATAAGTGATGATTAGTGGTGACTCAAGGCTTCCATGACCATAATCCATATGAACTATTCACACTCGTACAGGTGTTTGATAAAAGCAATTCACAACAGAAGTGGAGGAAGTACATCATCATTATTCTAATATTTTAAAAGTGAAACATCTTCTTTTTGCTTTTCCGGATGGTAAGAATACAGCTATCCTTTACAGGAAGTGTTGCAAAAATGCCAGTTTTCATTTACACAGATACATTTTGAAAATGTATTTATTAACAGTATGTCTTCTCTTCCACCAGATGTGGAGTTAATGCTTGATAGGTTGTTTGTATCGTAAGGTAGCAGTAATAATGGAACATGCTTACTTAAACAAACACTGTCCGCTTTCCTGTTGCCAATTCTATAAGTTGTTCATGGACATTTAGACCTCACCTAAAACAGTGTAATGTGAAGGTATTTTTGCCTCTGTTGCCTTGATAGTTTCACCCTGGGTGGCAAACATTCAAAAGTAGGGTTTCAATGTTGACATGAACACACGTGTTGCATTTAAAAAAAAAAAACACATAAATATATCTAAATGTAGGGCCAATTTAGTTCAGATTTGAGTTCTTTAGGTTGAT